GGGGGGGGGGCATTCGTATTGTCATCTTGTAGACACATATTAAAAGTGACCCTTTTTTCCCCCCATGCTATTCAATATAACAGGTTCACTTCATAGGAAAGGACATAAAAAGGCATGAGCGGTGTGATTTTCAGTGCCAGAGCCAAAATCTCAGTTTCACTTATTGAGCTACGTAAGCAAAATTTGCTTGAAAAGAAAATGGGGGGGGGATTTATCAAAACTGGAGCAGATTTGCACTGCAGCCAATCAACTTCTCTGTCTCATTTTCAAATCTCACCTGGGCAAACTAAAGAGAGATGCTGATTGGTTGCCATGAGCAACTGCTCCAGATTCAGTTTGCTCCAGTTTTGATAAATTCCCCCAAAGTATTTGGAAGGTACATTTTTGGGTGTATTTGGGGTAGTGTTGTTTATTTCATTTGGTTTACTTTGTATATATGTTTTTTTTCCTTTCTTTATTTTGTGTTTGATTATTATTTGTGTATTTTTGCCTTACATTTTATATTTTTTTTAACCGTTTGTTTTTACTATTTAAGGCTAGTAAGGGGCACAAAAACTGCTCCAGCATAGTTGAAAAGTGCTTCCTTAAAGTGGACCTATACACTCAAAAATCAAATTCTACCAATGCATCCCTTTATGTATGATGTTTATAAATTACATAGACATGTCAGGTGTAAAATGCTGTGATTGTGAAATACTTACACTTGCAGAGTATTCACTTCCTGCTTTGAACGGGCAAAATTACTTCAGTTTGGCAAAGCAATGCACACTGGGATTGCCTCATCATCAGCAGAGCATTGCCAGGAAATCTCATCTGTAATCTCATGAGATCTCAGGGAAAGGCATTTTCCTCCCCTGAGATGATGTGCATTGTCACATGTCCTAGTCACATGTCTAGTCACATGTGCCAGAAATCCTGGAACGAGGAGAGCTAGTAATCTGCCCTTAGTAAACATAGCCACTGCCAGAAGACTGGGGAGGAAAAAATAAATAAGGTATGCAAAGATCACAAAGCTTGCGATTATCTAGAAGTCTGTGTTTGTAGATTGTCATTACTAAACATTTCTAAAAGGTGTGTTTGTTGTTATTTTAAAGATATAGGTAAAGATCCGCTTTAACTCTCAAGAGCCATTTAAAGCCCATTACATCCCTAAATGCAACATAAGGCCCATTCACACCAAAATCGGACCTGAATCGCACATCAACAGATGCGATTGCACCCTCCATTTTACATCCATTGTGTTGTGCTGAGTAAAAATAGAGCATGCTCTACTTTTTTTCCGCACTCTGCAACGCAACACAGCTTTGTGAACTGGTCCCATTCACATTTTTTGGTTCACTTCTGTTGATATCCATTGAAAAACAAATGCCAACGGATCACAATAGATCTGGTGTGAATAGGGCATAAAACACCTTATTTCAACATTCCCCCTTTGACTCTAATTATGTTCACCAAAATGTTGAAATTGCAGAGACAATTTTAACTCATCCATATTTGCCATGCTGAGCTCCTCTCATGCCAGACAGTCGGTGAAATACCCAGTAACTCTGGGCATGTTGAAACACATGAAACTCCCCTTGCCTTCACATTACCCAGTCTTGGTGCCTGAGTGGCCAATCTCCAGGCTCGTGCACAGTCACATGGGGTCAGTGGGCTGAGCCCAATTTAAGTTTGGACTTGTTCATTGAATCAAAACTTACAAAACACTCTTTGGTAGTCTGGTAGCCAATCAGGTTCGTGGGGGAGTGTAGGTAAGGTAAGTATCATCTGTTAATGGTCCTGTCATTTCACCAAGTATAGGCAAAAGGAACCTCGACTAAGAGAGAGACTACCACTGCTGATCTCTACTTCTGAAAATCCTAGTCATCTGGCTGTCCTTCCATAGTCTTGCGTATTTTAAGCCCTGATAAAGGGGGATGTTTTATGCCCCACAAACACGGTGGCTGTATTTGTATTCTGGTTGCCATCAGATGTTTATTCAAAGACTTAGGCACTTTACTTTGACCTACATGTGGATTTCGCAATTGCGTGATTAGGGTCTTTGCTGAGTTGATTGAAAATGTATGTCCAGTGCGTCACATCTACCTTTTGGATGATGATCCTGGCGCTCTAGCTTGATTCCTTTCTAAAGTGCTGATGCCGGAAACAGTTATGCAGCTTAGGAGGACTTTACTTGATGCATGAATGGCTCAAAGTATTAAAGCCATTGATTCTTCGTAACAAACATACAACTACAAATTCTGGAAGGAGTTCAGCAAAGGGCTACATATCATTCTTAGTGTATTTCCTTTAAAATGAAAGGTTTGGACTAGATCAACATGTACGCCGTTTTCTACTCAATCACTGTTAAGATCATTATTCAATGTAGCTGAAATAAAAAGGTGGCCTGTTTATTTTATCTTTCTCCCACAGTTGTTTTGCCAATAACCGATATGAGTTGTGGAAATTGGGCATTACACATGTCCTGAATGCAGCTCATGGACGGATGCATTCTGACGGCAGTCCTGAATACTATGGTACCAGCATAACATACCATGGGGTGCCCGCCAATGATCTTCCAGACTTCAACATCAGTCAATATTTCTATTCTGCTTCAGAATTTATTCACAAAGCACTGGACACTCCCGGAGGTAAAATATTTCGATATACAATATCTACAGTCAGATCTATCGTTCAGTCATCAGATCATTACAATGCTATATTGTCATCATAGTTACATAGTATTTGAGGTTGAATAAAGACATAAGTCCATCAAGTCCAACCTATTGTGTGCATGCATTTATGTTTGAGTTGGTGTGAGTGTGTATTAGTCATCCCTCCCCAATATCATTAATAAATAGGTTAAAAGGCATGGGACCCAGCACAGAACCCTGTGGCACGCCACTCATGACCTCCGCCCAGTCTGAAAAGGTGCTATTTACTGATATTCTTTGTGCATGTTTTTGTAGCCAGTTTTCTATCCACGTGCACACTAATTCATCTATGCCCATAGCCCTTAGCTTGTATAACAAGCGTTTAGGTGACAAATCTGGTATTTTGTGTAAATACAGTCTGGATGCAATAACTACTAGGCAGAGTATGTTTCAAATATATTATGATTCATAAGTAACAAATATTTTACTGCAATTAAAGTCAGTAAAATAGAAAATTGCTGGGAGGTCGGGATTTTTGGCAGAAGAGACATTTTATTTTCTGTGTACAGTTTACAGACTCTGACTATTCACAGCATCTCTAACATGCCGTGAATGGGCCAGGTGTCGAAGAGGATGCAACTCCTATGCACAAGAGTTTCATCATCAGTGGCCACCCGTGGCCGAAGAGGATTTGGATGGTACCCAGCAGTGGCAGATATAGCAGTGGCAGGAAAAAGAGCGGGGAACTAAAGATTGAACCAACAGAACACCTGTAAGGTACTCGCACATTGGGGAATAAACCCACCAACTCTTAGTGGTTTACTTTCAATTTAAATGTATGCTGGGGCTTCTTCAAAGTGTCAATTTCAAATGGAAGTATCCCATGCAAATGTAAGTTCTGCTTTTGGAGGCATGCATTATATAGCCAGTCCTGAACTGGAAAGACGTTTATGCATCATTCATTATTGAAAACTATAGTTGGCAATAGCGATCTCCTCAATACTAGAGTTGACCCTGGAAAATTCTTCCCACTACTAGACAGTTGTCACTGCAGCTTATAGCAGACCTGTAAGGTACTTGCACATTGGGGAATAAACCCACCAACTCTTAGTGGTTTACTTTCAATTTAAATGTATGCTGGGGCTTCTTCAAAGTGTCAATTTCAAATGGAAGTATCCCATGCAAATGTAAGTTCCGCTTTTGGAGGCATGCATTATATAGCCAGTCCTGAGCTGAAAAGATGTTTGTGCATCATTCATTATTGAAAACTATAGTTGGCAATAGCGATCTCCTCAATACTCAATACTAGAGTTGACCCTGGAAAATTCTTCCCACTACTAGACAGTCATCACTGCAGCTTATCAGCTTATCTTAACAGACATGGGATATGCTCTGCATATGAGTTTTCAGCACATTACAGAATGTAAAGGCACCTCACCTGCAGTGAGCAATTGCTGGCATTTTTGTGCTGGAAAGAAGCTTCATCTGGAGTGTAAGGGGATATAGTTACATAGTAGGTGAGGTTGAATAAAGACACAGTCCATCAGGTTCAACCCTTATTGTGTGTGTGTGTGTGTGTATACTGCTTGTAATCTCAATAACCCTGTATGTTTTGTGGACTGAGGAACTCATCCAAGTGTTTTTTGAAGCAGTTTATGTTTCCTGCTGATACAGCTATCTGTGGAAGTGAATTCAACATCTTTACCACTCTCAAAGTAAAATACCCCCTTACGCAGTTTACGATTATACCTCCTCCCCTCCAACTTCTTGTTGTGTCCTAGCATCTTCCTCAAGGTACTTAGTTTAAGAATTGCATTCCCAATACAGCAATCCCCACTGGTGAGTTTGTAAAGTGTGACCATGTCACCTCTTAAGTGCTCTTCTCTAATGAGAACAAGACACATTTTTGTAGGCATTCTTGATAACTCTCCATCCCCCTTATTAATTTGGTTACCCTTCTCTGAACCTTTTCTAGCTCACAGACATCACTCCTGAGGATTGGTGACCAGAGTTGCACTGTGTACTCACGATGGGGCCTTCCCAGTGTTTTGTAAAGGGCAAAATTATATTTCTATCCCATGAATAAATCCCTCTTTTGATGCAAGATAATATACTACTAGCTTTATTAGCTGCAGCTTGGCACTGCATGCTATTACTCAGTCTGTGGTCCATAAGGACCCCAAGATCCTTTTCCATCTCTGTTCTCACCAGTAAAACCCCACCTAAGGTGTATTCAGCATGCATGTTCTTAACTCTCAAGTGCATGACTTTACATATAATTAGATTAAAACTCATCTGCCACATAGCTGCCCACTCTCCAATTGTATCGAGGTCTTGCTGCAGGGATTCTATATTATGTTGTGATCTTATTTCCCTGCACAACTTCGTATCGTCAGCAAACACTGACAGTGAGCTATTTATAAACAAGATAAATGGAATTGGCCCCAAGACTGAATCCTCTCACCACTTTGGACCATTTCGAGAATGTGCCATTTATCCCTACCCTCTGGATGTGATCCTGCAACCAGTTTTCTACCCATGTACATATTGGTTCTTCAATACCCATTGACCTTAGTTTGTATACTAACTGTTTGTGGGGTGCTGTGTTAAATGCTTTTGCAAAGTCTAGAAAGACTAAATCAACTGGGATTCCACTGTCCACCTTACAACTTACTTCCTCATAAAATGTTAACAAATTTGTCTGGCAAGAACAACCTTTTCATAAATCCGTGTTGGTTCTTGCTTATGATACTATTCATACATGCAAACTTTTATATATAGTCCCTGACCAATCCTGCAAAAACCTTGCATATTACTGAGGTTGACTGGCCTGTAGTAACCTGGTACACATCTTGAACCTTTCTTAAATATTGACAGCACATTCACTTTACTCCAGTCCTCTGGTACCTCTCCTCAATGTGTCCTTACAAATTAAAACAATAATCTGGCAATAACCAGACTAAGTTCTTTAAGGACCCTTGGATGAAAGCAATCTGGTCCCGGAGATGTATTAGTGTTTAGCTTTTCAAGCCTCTTTCTTATCTTCGCCTCTGTTAGGCACTGGGCTTAATCTAGTCCATAATTAGAATCTTTTTTACTTTATCTACCCATTCCACTCATCAGTAAAAACAGTAGAGAACAATATGCAAGATATGAAAGCTTGTTTGATGGCACATGCAACTTTACTATATATTGAGCAGCACTGATCCGTTGACCATGGAGATCTTTTTACATGGGTAAAACAGATTATCCACATCATGGCACCAGAGAAGGGAATATTATAATTAGTCACCTAGAGTGTATCCATTTTTTGAGCAAAAAAACAAACACAAAATAAATACTTAAAGTTCATGTATAGCTATAACCTTTTTTTCATTTATAGAATATGGATAGAGTAGAGAATGGAGAAATTGTCTCTTAGACACTTGTCACTAGAACAGAATTATCCTTATCTCTTGTTCTTGGTGACAATTGTAACTAGATTTCCCATTACTTTCTATCTCAGTGACAAAAGGTCACCAAGACAAATAAAGAGGGTGAATATCCCCAGTGGGGACTACAGAAAGCAATGTAAAAGACAGTTCCAGCTCTCATACAGTCAAGAATAGTGTCGCTCACTCTCTTGTTTCCTCCATTCATACACCCATCATTAGAGGTAAGTTATTGGTACATAGCAAATGTCCCCCAAAACATTTTTTTTTTGCTGGAGTTCTGCTTAATTTACATGATTCTTGGTCCCGCCAGCTCCCTCCAGGCTGCTAGACCGGTCCCCGCAACCTCTTTTCCCCTTCGCTAAGGACTGCTGACATCAACACGTCATGTTGGTCCACTCGCATGCATTAGATGTAAGGATGTCTGAAGAATATTCCATAGGCGGAGTGAAGGGGAAGAGAGGAGACCGCTGACTGACGTGGGAGCCAGGATCAGGCAAGTAATACAACTTTATTTGAGTCCCTTAGGTTCCATTCACACAGGAGCGGTTTTTCCGCACGTGTTCAGTCAGGCATTTCTGAACAGAAAAAACAATACACTTTAATGTAAAATTGGTCAGACTTCAGCGGCGGCCGCGCGGCACGCAAAATAGTATAAGCGCAATTTTTTGTGGAATCCGCACATTTTAGCGTGTTTGTCTCATGCGGTCTTCCACACGGAAAACGCGCATGAAACAAAAGCACTACTGTATATGTGAATGGAGCCTTAGACAAAACGAGCTCTTAACCCTTAAACTGTGGGGGTAGCTCCACTGCAAGGCTAAGTTTTTTCTTTGCCTGGAGAACTTCTTTAAAGCAGAACCCCAGGGAGAAAAAAATAATATTTTTGGACATTTGCTATGTACCAATAACGTACCTCTAATGATGGGTGTAGGAGCAGAGGAAGGGCGAGATTAAACTAAACTCTTCTTAATTTTATGAGAGACAGAGCTGTCATTTATGGAGCTTACTGTAGTATCAGGCTGAATTTACCTAAAGCTGGCTTGCTGACTCTTCAGAAATTCGACCAGTGTGTGGCCCTGTAGGGGGACCTCTCCTTTTGCCAAAAGTCACTTGAGAAAAAAAAGAGTCGGTCCCATGTGAAAAGTAACTACAGCCAATTAGTTGCAGTCAATGTTTGGTTATTCTGGCAGCGGCACACCCACCATTGTAGGAATACAATAAACCAGCAGGGGGGATTCCCCCCATCCAATCTATTAATGTGGCTGCACATACACTTCAACATCACAACTGGAGATTAATAAAATGCCAAATACGTATCTCCTCCAGAGTGTTTTTCCTGTTCTGTGTCCAATTTTCCTAACATCTACATTGCAAAACTCTTCTCATCATTGCGTGGAATGTCTGCTAACAAATGTTCCTGGACTCTCAGTAAAAGATGTCTCCTCTCCTGCTGGGGATAAACACATTAGTCATCAGTCATGGAAGCAGACATGAAGGTGGCTGGTATGACTCACAGACTGTCAAACTGTGCTGACCTCTTCCTCCCTGCAGAACCTCTCATTTGGAAACATTTAAGCACTTCAGAGGAAATGTAATATATCCAGAACAATAACAACCAGGAATCTGAACATAGTAGGTTTTGTTTTTTATTAATTTTTTTTTACCAGCTCAAGATTCACATTTACAAAGGTATAGGGAATATCTTTTGGTGTATACCATGCATACACCTGAATGAAAGTTCGGTGAAAAAGCTTACTTTGTTGCAACCTAATTTGCATAGGAATATAACAGATTATTGTTTTCATGACTATGACATAATGCTGCACTTAAGGGTGTTAATAGCTGGTGTTTGATAATCATTTGAAAGGCATTTACAACATGTTCCAGATGCTTTGCTTAATCTTGCAAATTTAGGTAAATGTGTCAGTATAGATTTGCATTTTAGGCAAAAACACTTGCTAATAAAAAGTATCACCTATATCACTTTCCTCCTCTTCCTTTGCAGACATTGCTATGAGATTACCTAACATCACTTAAAGGACAACCGTCATGGAAGCATTCATAATTATTGCCCCTTTTTCATGCTGGGCAATTGGACTGGCATAATTGGATTGAATCAATCTATACATTTGACACGTGGCACATCTTTTACTAACATGGTGTGAGCCTTATTTTAACACAGCCCCATCAGCTGTTTTCTCAGTTTTCATTGAACATCTTCAAATAATTGACCTTACTCTCCCTTGCCTCCAAGCTCTCACCATGCCAATTGCACAAAAAAGTGTTACAGTGGAGAAGTAATAAAGAAAGAAAATACATATGGCCTCGAGCAGCTTACACACAGGATTTTTGTTTTTAAAAAGGGTCATTCATAAAAGCTATGCTATGTGAGTACCCCAACTATTGTATAGATTGGTCCTAATCCATGTCAAAATAGAAATGTTGCTTATGCAAGAAAGCCTTGCCAATGTAAAAGTGTGGAGATAATTAGAAAGTTCAGTGGAACCTGTGCTTTGCCCATGCAGGCTCACTCAACTGCCGCCTACTTATACATACCTTCCATTTGCTGCAGGAGTAAAGAAAAAAAAAGCCCTGTGTGAGCTCCATTCCATTCTAGTTGGAGTTTTCTCCTTGCTGTACATGACAACACTGGGGTCTTGCAAATTGCTGCTCTGGTTCGCATTCATTACATCATGAGAGTATTGGGAGAACATGCACATTTTCCTTTGCTCCAGGTGGAGAGTATATGCAGTTGTAAAGACCAGCTTTTAAGTGAAACTATTGCCCTGTTCTGTATAAGTAAATCGCAGGTCATTCAAATGTTGCAATTACACAACAAAAGTGAATCTGCAGAATATAATCATTACACTGTATGTATTGACCTCGTATACGTATTAGTGAAATACATTTTCTGTGCTAACTTTCCTTTAACTACATCCTGTTTTACCAATACAATGTGTTCTTTCCCAGCCAGGGTTCTAGTACACTGTGTTGTCGGAATCAGCAGGTCAGCCTCTTTGGTTCTTGCTTACTTAATGATCCATCATCAGCTAACCCTGACACAAGCCATACAGCACGTTCAAGAGAATCGCTGGATCTTCCCAAATGCAGGTTTCCTTCAACAGCTATTACACCTGGATGAGGAGCTACAGCAGACTAGGAAGAATCAAATTTAGAGCACAAGTTAGGAGTCAATGAGAAAATCATTTCACTAGAATTGTTATGGTTCCTCAGTAGGGTTCACAACTACTGTCATAAGTTGACTGGGATATTGAGAAAATAGACTGTCTATTTTTATTTAATCAGTGTGTTGTATCTGATATTCCTTGTTTATTTCTCAATAAAGATATTCCACATCATAGTGTATTACAAACAGGTTTTGATTTTGTAATTAATATATATCAACATAAATCATCAGAGGGTTGCTGCAGTCTAAGGTCGCTGAGTCATCACATTCTATACACAGTGTATAGACAGGCAGGAGGGAGAGCTGTCACAGATGGCTGGCTGGGAGGATCGAGTGAGTATAAAGCTGGCTATACACTGCTTAGATTTTCCAAAGCACTTTCGTAGAGAGCATAATGACAGAGGGATGAGCTCATCACTGTGCTACTTCTCTTTTCACTATAACAGGCTGGGGCAGGTCCAGTGGCATAACCAGAGTTATGGGCGCCCGGGGCAGAACATTTTTTTTCGCCCCCCATATTATATAAACATCCACTAGAACTGTACACCCCACCCCCACACATATATATCAGCTAAGGAACTACAAGTCCAAGCATGCCATCATTGTCCCTGTACACCCCCCCCGCCTCCCCTCACACACACATATCACCCAGGGAACGGCAATATCTGGTTGTTGTACAGGGGCAATGAGGGCATGCTGGGACTTGTAGTTCCCTAGCTGATATGTTATGAAGCTGTATTCCACCTGAAAGTACTACAATGCCATTATAGAACTAAGAATAGAACATAAAATAAAACTTTTTTTTTTTCTAATACTCACCTGATTCCTGGATCCAACAAGCGCGGCCTCCCGTCTCCCACGCTGTTAGAAGTTGCATACAGCGTGTGCTAGTTACTACTTAAACCGACGCGCGCTGTGTGCAGCTTCTGAGAATCCCGGAATCAGGTGAGTAGTATTTAAAAAATTCGTTTAGCGGGGGTCGTGATGGCGCCCCCCCTCAGTCCTGCGCCCGGGGCAAGTGCCCCCCCTGCCCCCCTGGTTGTTACGCCACTGGGCAGGTCAAGGGTGACTTGGGCTCAGAAGAGTGAATTGAATGATACTGGCCATTAGACTGAGTACATCTAGCAGAAAAAAAGCACTGTGGAAGAAATCTCTGGATTGAAGGGGAATTTTCCAGCAAAATCTGTTTTTGTTATTTTAGCTTTGAATAAAAATAAATTTATTTTTATTCAAAGCTAAAATACGCCGCTGCCAAAGGGAAAAGGGCTTGTTGTGAGAAAACAGCTGGAAAAAAGGATAAAAGTGACACTAAACTCAGGAGTTAAATCTTAAAAATGCATTCAAGTACCTTAACTAATAACAACAAATTATCTTATTTGTGTATCACTCAGCTGTAGATCCTCAAATCATCTCTGAATTGGTGCTGACTCTGAATTTGTGGTGTCCTTCATTCTGGAGGGTGGCTACTTTTGTTCCCCATGGACCCTGTGTGTTGTAAAGTAGCCACCTCTCCAAGATCACTCCTGTGATGGACTACAATCTCACGTTTAATTAATACATTTGTATTGAGATCACGGGAGCGAGCTTGGTGCGGTCGCTACTTAACAACACACATAGGGACCATGGGGAACAAAAGGAGCCCCCCTCCAGAAGGACGGACAGTATCAGTATGAATTCAGAGATGATTTGAAGATCTACAGCTGAGTGATCCACAAATAAGTCCGCAGTGGTGATTAAATACCACCAAAAGAAAGCTCTATCTGTCCCCAAAAAATGGTATAAAATTCATTTCAGTACAGCGTTGCATGACGGAATAAACGTCAGTCAAAGTATCGCAGCGCTGAATACTGAAAAATGGCCTGGCCAGGAAGGGGGTCTAAACACCTGGTCTTGAAGTGGTTAAGATTTAACTCCTAAGTTGAGTGTCACTTAAAAAAAAAATAATTATTAATAACCTGCTTTTTAAATTGCATGTAGTTCACAAGTTGCTTTTCAACTAAACTTATATATTTTAATAATCTGGAAGTACATGTATTTTTAGAAATGTTTATGGGGGTGCCTTTAGCATGTGCGGTACTTTTCTACATATTAATTTTTAACAAGGTGATCTCTTTTTGGGTCTATTTCTCTTATATTTCATTGTGATATTTCTAATAGACCTTTTATAACATTTTGTAAAAATCAGTTGTGGGTGGTACCTGAAGATTTTTTAATGCAGTAGATATTTATTGCTGCCTGTGTCCCTGTCAGGGAGATTTTCCCACCTTTGACAGTTACCAGAAGCCCTCTTTATAAGGTGAGGTGAGTGTATTATGAGGCGAGTGTATTGCATCCTTAGGATAAAATAGAAGGCGAGTGTATTCTCAAAGGCTTTTGATACGGTACCACACAAACGCTTGCTACACAAGCTGAGGGCTATGGGCATAGATGAAGTGGTGTGTACGTGGATAGAGAACTGGCTACGGGAACGTGTCCAGAGGGTATCTGTAAATGGCACCTTTTCAGACTGGGCTAGTGTAATGAGCGGTGTGCCTCAGGGTTCTGTGCTGGGTCCCATATTGTTCAACTTATTCATTAATGACATCGGGGAGGGTGTTAACATCGATATTTCCGTGTTTGCGGATGATACCAAGTCCTTGAGTTGGAAAAAGTCCAGCAGAGGGCAACCAAACTAATTAGGGGTATAGAGGACCAGAGCTACGAGACAAGGCTACTAAATTTAAACATGTTCACATTGGAGATGAGGAGATTAAGGGGGGATATGATTTCCATGTACAAGATGTTCAATGTAACTATGTAACTATATTGCCTCTTAGAATAAAATAAACATATGTCCCACTTCAACTTCAGGTTCAGGGTGCAGTCTGTATTTGCACTGTGCATTGATTTCACCATAGAGACGTTTGCAGATGCTAATAGTCACTGAGAATTTGCTAATTGTTAAACACACTTGAGGTCTATATATAAAGTATATATGCTGCATGGCTCACAACATAAATGTTTTCTGGACATTTGCCCATCTGTAAGGAAACAAGCAGCCGCACTCCGATGATGTCTGGTCCAGGGACCAGCTTCCCCTAACATATTTCACCTTCTTACAGGCTTGATCACAGAAAATCTCTGCAGCCAGTCAACTAACATTTGTAGAAAGAAATCAGTAATGGCATCCCCCATATTTTTTTCATGACAAGTTTACTTTAAAATGTTTGCAGGGAATGCTATTCAGATAATTTCTTTCACAACTATGTTTTTAGTGCAGTACCCTCTCATTGTCACGAGATGGCGATATAATACCTGTAAGTATATTTCAAACGCAGAGCTCCAAAATAATATCCTAATTATACATGTTATAATAGATAAATCAATGTTATGCAATAAAAGTGGATTAAAAGGAAATTACAGGTTTGTTACAAGGGCCTTGATTCACCAAGCTACATCATTAAAGGAAAGCTGTAGAGGGAGAAATACAAGGGTTGTCCTGGATGTACCACCTTTAAAAATGCAAATTGCTTGGCTGTATCTGGTTTTAGTAGTGAGTTAGGAGCCCACAGCTATCATACAGATGACAAAACCTGGTTTCTGACCTACATATGTGGTATAGGTCTATGCGTCAGCTGTTGGATAAGCATGACAGCCAAGCAATTAGCATTTTTATAAGGAAAGGTCAGTAATGACAGCTTTCATATTCTCTTAGTACTGTACATGTTACCTATAAAAGGAATCTATGCTGAGAGAATAATAGAGACTCCCAATGTTCACCTCTACTTTCTCTTGACTCTTTGACTCAGAACAAGTATTAGGATTTCTAACTTAACTTGGGCTATTCCTAGGGCCAATCACCAAGCACCAGTGCTATCAAACAGAGATAATCTAAAGTCCAGTGTAAGCTACAGTTTAAACCACTCAGCAGCTGAGTGTAGCATAGGGACAGTAAGTATGTACTGCTGGAGAGGGAGGAATGAAGCAAAACTGCTGCTTTGCCTTACATGGGCAAAGCACATCTTCGCTTCATGGTATGGGAAACTGGCCCCTCAAACAGCATTATCATATCTGATAATATCACTTGAGAGGTCACTTCAGCATGTCAAAAAGTAAACCTGTAGAGTTCCTGTGCTTTTCAGACTGAGCATGTGTGTTAGAACAAACTTTCATTTTTATATTTATAAGCTTTACTAATAATATTCCATACCTATATTTACAACTTTTTGTGCCTCAAATGTTATGTGCAGTCGACATGCACCACACCATAGTATGCAGATATTGAAAATGATTTGTAACATGTGCACCAAAACTTGGAAAATTGCAAACTGCTATTTGTTGCAGGAATGCCTCAGTTTCTGTTCTAATACTAATTTCTGTGCTACAATGTAGAGCAGATATTAGCCACAGATCTGCGCCTGGTCTGACTTAGTGATTTCCCCAAGTCTTAACCTAAGATACAAGTCAGATTTTAGGCATCCTCTGCAATGGAAAGGTCATTTTTGGTGAGATACTCCCTAAGGATTAACTACTACTTAATACATTATATATATATTAGGGCTGGTAATGATTAACATTTTCCTGTTCGATTAATCGAAATTTTTTTTAATCGATTAATCTCAATTAATTCCAACGCACATACAGATCCAACTACATTGGCCTATACACATACAGCACAGCAATGAAGTAATAAAATTAACTAGTATCACACTAATCCAGAACGTTATTAATCTCACGTGCCCCACTCAATATGGCCGCCGCTTTAGTGGGGCAACTCAGAATAATAATAACGTGCTGGATTAGTGTGATCCTAGTTCATTTTATTACTTAATTAATTGCTGTGCTGTATGTGTATAGGCCAATGCCAGGGATCCCAACCTGAAATAAGCAATTTCAGGGAGGTGTCCCTCTGTTTCAGGGAGGTGCCCTCTCCCCCCCATCTGGGGAGGGAGGTTAGGGGGGGCTGGGAGAGAGCACCCCCCTGAAATGATGGCAGATCGCACAGGAAGCAATAGCTTCTTTGCTATTGCACTTTGCAATAGCCAAAAGCAAACTAGCTCATGCACCCGCCCCCTGCTGCTTTCAATCACCAGAAGAGGACCTGTTAGAAAAAAAATCAGGTCCCCCTTGGGGAAGTCATCGAGGGCTGATATATTTCCCCTTGCTTTCTATCCTATGTACAGGACTAGTGGAACCCAGACCAGGTTTTCGGGTTGACTTTGGTTCTGAATAATCCAGCTTGGGTTTTGTGTCTCTCACCTGGATTGTTAATTGCTTAATGAGTGATTATCCAGGTGAGATAAAAGGGGAAGGCTGAAGCATGATGTTGCTCTGTCCTGTGTGTGAGTAAAAGGTTTCTGGAAGTACTTTGTGAGGTGGCTGAGATAAGCTCACCACTTGGTAGAGAGGAAACCTGCCTGTTTAGTCAGAGCCTGGATGGCAAGAATTTGTTTTATGTTTTATTTTGTTTTATTGCAACCTCTTTAATAAAAAACTGACTGCTAGTCAGATTGAAAAATAACTTTTGCTGCCTAGACTACCTTTTTCCCAGCGATCAATATTATCTCTTCCAGCAGAGCTAGGAACTCGAAATTGCACCTCAGCCCATTGCAAGAGTGCATGCTTGCGTGGCTTCCAGCACCTAGTTTTGCCATAAGGCACAGTGTAGGTATTTTTGCAAATTGCTTTTTGGCTGGTAATAAAGTGGACCTTCCTTTTGACAAGGAAGGCCCAATTTAATCCAGATTTATTTTAATTCTGACAGGGTCACTTTAAATGGATAAACTAGAAGAATGATATATTCAACAAAGGCAGATCTTCCATGATTATACACTCAATAACCTTGTATACCTTTTCCTGCTACAATGTTTACAGCAATCATTGGTAATTGTATTTAGGGGTCTATTTAGCAGTTTTCACCCAAGATTCACACAACTTTAACCCAATATTCACACATTCACCTAAATTCAATAATTATGTGAATCTTGGGTGAAAGTTTAATAAATCTTGGATGAAGACATTAACAAATAGACCCCTTAGTCAAAGATATGTTTTAAATGTACAATTTAAAGACAAGCAAAAGCCATGCAAACAGAAGAAAAGCTGTCCGCACACCGGATTGAGCTGCGATAGTTTATTTATTTATTAATACAGGTATTTATATTGCGCCGACAATTTACACAGTGCTTTACACGGTGCACATTCAAATCATACCCTGCCCTCAAGGAG